TATCTATCTCTATATCTATCTATCTATCTATCTATCTATCTATCTATCTATCTATCTATCTATCTATCTATCTATCTATCTATCTATCTATCTATGATAGTCTGTTTGGTTCACCCGCCTGCACTATCCAGAAGTGCACCACAGGAGATAAACTAGTTCCACACTCAAAATGGCAACAGCGGACTTCAGTGTCATCTGGGGCTTTTCCCCTCCACTGATGTCATCTCGCATTCAGGCATTTCATTGGGCAGGTCCAGCCCCAATTGGATTCATATTTCTGCATGAAATGCCTTCTTTTTCCCACCGAAGTGGTAACTATTTATCTACTTGCATGTAACATGCTTTTGAACTGCTACGTTGGTGGGAGCTGAGGCAAGCGGCGGGAGCTCACCTAGTTACATGGTGCTAGAACTCGAACCGCCAGAGCACAGATCTTCTCCAGTGTCTTTAAGCCATGGAATCACCACGCCTCTCAATAACTCAAAATATGTAGTCTAATAATGAAAGCTAATAATAAGGAAATATATGAAATAGCCTTATCTGTTCGAATATTCATATTTTCCTAAGACCAATGTTGAAATAAAGGCATGCAACCATACCTGACCTGCTCCAAAATATATGAGATCAATAACTCTGGTACAATTTTAGCAATACCACCAGTAACCCTTATAACCTATCAACATTCTCATGAAAAATCAGAGAAAATCTAGTGCACTATTAGCAACTGTCATTTTATATCAGCTTTGGAAAGCTGGGGCCAATGTAGATGGGTACCTTGACAGCTGTGAATGCTGAATTGGCAATTCCTGTGCTAGACCACTCATGTTTAAAAAGAATTGATTATGTTCTGGTCCTCCATCAAAGATATCAAAGCCATTATATAGGTGTACTGTCTAAACTGAGAAAGTGTCTGTAATGCACAGAACAAATCCTGTGAAGTTTCATTGAATCAACTGGTCCTCAAACTGGATACTCAAAATGAGTTAGGAAAATTTTCACAAACTAAACCCGCTATTATGAATGCAAACTTTTACCTGAAAATACTAATATATTGTTCTTGAAAGCCCCTTCTAATACACTTCTAGAAGATTCCCTAGCTTTCCTAAAGCACATTTGATTGATTTGGAGACACATATTTGATATGCCAATTGCACCTGTCCATAAGGAAACATTGGATCAGGGATGGATTCCTGCCAATTCTAACCTCTTCTATAGAAGAAGTTCCACAAATCTACAGTGCTGTTTAGAACCAGTTCCAGCTCCCTCCCCCTGCCCGTCTGCACATCATCAAGATGACGAGCGAGAGGAGGAATTCTGGGAGTTGAAGTCCACAAGTCTTAAAGCTTTCAAGTTTGAACATCCCTGGTGTTCTTTTTTCTAAAGAGTTAGGGGTGCAAGCGTCTTGTAACTTGACAGCTTTAAGACTTGTGGACTTCAACTCCCAGAATTCCTCCTCTCACTCTTTATCTTGATGATGTGCAGACGGGCAGGGGGAGGGAGCTGGAACTGGTTCTAAACAGCACTGTAGATTTGTGGA